ATCTGTAGTTGGAGTGCTGATGTATTTAAGCATCATGGAGGTATGAACCTTCTAAGCTCATTCCAAGTCAAATCAAAAACTCCCCTAGTTCTTTTGGGTTGTTGGAAGCTGTGGTTGTAGATAGCCTATGCACAAGGCTTAAAACTTCCTTTTATGGTGAAGCTCATACAGTAGTTATGGTGGCTCAGGTAATCCTGCGCTGTATCAACAGAAATGCTGCAACCTCGTTAGGCTACTGGAGGACATGGGGACCACTTTTAATCATTCTGTTTTCTTCTGATTCTGTTCTCCAATTCTGCAATATTTGATAGTTCAACCCCTAATTTATTCTGAAGAGAGCTAAGGTTCAAATAAGATAATCACTGCTTACCTCCTGGTTTATATACTGTCAGCATATTAGGATATGTTTACCAGGTCAGGTTATATACATATACTTTGTTATATGTATATAACAAAGTATATGTATAGGCACAAACAAACAGTATCAGGAAAAGAAAAATATCCTTTGCTGCATTTCCATTTTGCCCCATTTTTCCCTATTTTGATGTTCTTCTTCCACATGGCTTGAGCTAGTGAGGTAGCCCTCTGTGTTAGTTTGCCTCTGCACAGCTACATACGCAATACAGCTCCACAGTGTTAACATTAAGAACCCAACATTGCTGACCTTAACCCCCATGAATGCTAAAACATCAGAGACTGAGACCTTTTTCTGATGTGGATGGAAAAAAAGATTTTTTTTTTCTCCCTCTGGACAAGCACTATTGCCATCATCTGAGCATGCCACATATGTAGGGCTGAAGCTTTGATATGTTTGCCTGCTTTGAGCTCTGCATAACAGTTTGGGTGCCAACTTTACAACACCTTGCTGCAAGACAATCTCTTAAAAGCATGAAATATAAAGAGAACTAACTAATTGGAGATGGTAAGGAGATCCAGGTTACAAGGTTTCAAAGTACAGAAGTAAAGAAAGAGGATTGTTGTGTGTGTATTTAAATATATACATATATATATGTAGTAAAAAAATGGCCAAAAACATAGCTACTAGTGAATTTATTTGGTATTAAATATCTGTCAAAGAGATTAACATAAATATGAACCATAAACATTATGACAATAAAAATCCCTCGTATAGCAGCCAACCTTAATAGGTACTAGCATCTAAAATTGACAGACAAAAAGTTATTTGATAAAACAAAACAAATGCATATTTTTCATATCATTATTAGTTTATAAATAATTAGCAAAAAAATCCACAATTTATCTTTTATTTATTTTCTTTTTCGCCATCTTAATATTAAAGGACAGACATATATTTATAAGGAAAATCTCATAGATCTTTCTCTACAGAATATTAAAACTGTCGAGACTCTCCTGTATGAAATGTGCTATGATTAATGTCCATGAATAATTAATAAAAAACGAATAAATGTCACTAAAATATGAACAAATCTGCCTTACATTTGATCTATTTTTCACGGCTGACTTCTCCAATGGTTGTCCAAATATGCCGCTTCAAGACAATTATGTTCAGCACTGGATGCTTCAAATGTAGCAGAAATATCATCAAGCTGAGATCTGGGGGAAAGCATAGCTATTGGACAGCCTCATCTGTATGTTTTGTTTAGATATATAAAATTCCCCTAAACTGTGCCTGAATATATAAACATAGAATTGCAATTTGAAGCAAGGTGTTTTTCAAATGTAATCAGAGGTATGATTGCACCAAAACTCCTATAGGAACACCAATGCAAATGAATGTACTTTTGTGAATATAAAGCATTTTAATTTAATATATGTACAAGCTGTTTATAATGGTACATTGGTCTGTTAAAATCAGGATTTTAAAGTATAATAATTAATAATTATTCTAATAGATATATTTGTGTAGGGAACAAACCTCCATCAGATCTGTAGGAGATGGCTGTTCACTTGAATTTTATGTTGATTTCTTTCTATGCGACATCCTTAAACATTTTAAAGATTTGATGTAATTTCCATTGTGTGTGTAGTGACAATCATCCCTATAGAAATCCGGAGGGTATATTCACATTACTACAATCATTTCATTCATGCCTACATTGCAATTATCAGCATTAGTCTCTCACTGGGCTCAATGGAGCAGCTAAATAACTCTGTTATGACTTATCACAGACAATGTAGAACCACTCCTTTCCTTTCATTCAGTTTCTTCAATGAATCAGTGATGTCATTTATAAAAATGCTGGTTTTGTCTAAATTCACTACAATCCACAGTTTCTATTGTAATTTATCAAATCCAATCTAATGTTATTTATAAAGCACTTTAAAATTTATCAAAAGACCAAAGTGCTGTACAATTAAACAACATAAAGTCATTACCCAGACTCATGAGACATAAAAAAAACAAAAAAAAACAAAAAACATAAAGGCATAAAAGACATAAAAGACATAGCAAAAAATAATAAATAAATAAAATGAAATGATTTATCACAGGTAAAAATAAAAATCTAACACAGTTTTCAGGAGAGTTTAAAATTAGAAGGAGAGGTAGATTTTTTAACCTGCATTGGAAGGTCTTTTTTGGAGCTGCCACAGAGAAAGCACAATCCCCTCTAAGCTTCCGTTTAGTTTTAGGCACAAGGTGAGTGCTTTCTGAGTACCTCACCTTCATTGCATATTCATTTGTAGGTGGGGAGTGGGTATTACAGTGGTTCCTGTAACCGTGCTAGATTTCCAACAAATCAAGATGTGTTGACAAAATTAGTGCACTAACTTGTGTATATACAACTTTATCTGAACTATCCTGCAACTTTTAAAGTTTCTCACCAACACTAACTTTTTTTTTAGGACAGCACTCTTTTATGGGTGATGCAAATAAATGTAGAGAAATAAACATATGGTTTTGCTTGAAAATGTACATCAACTATTTCTGAAAAATAAAGGCCCTCCCAGCCAGCACCAACAGCAATGTAAAAGGTCTTTAAAAGTCTTTCAGACTTTCTTAAATTTCAGCAAATTATCTTTACAACATCTAGACAGTTACACTGTGTTGCACCCATGTGATCAGCTGATCTACTGTTAGTGTTAATTAGTAATTAAGAGGTCCTCTTAAAGTGGCCGGTGAGTGTTATATAGTGGGAATTGGGACCGTTTGTCTAGTTAAGAGTCTCAAGATTGTATCTGTTGTTTCTTGTCGCAACATAAATACACTTCCTTCTTCTAAACTAGAAAGATGGATCCGTCAAAAGATGTGATTCCCAACATACTGTAAAAAGGTTGACTTGCATCACGAAAAAAGGCAACAGAGTTGTGAAGAACATTTTAAAGGCTATTATCCCGAAAGACTTGAAAGGTTTACAGACTCATGTCTCAAAAATCAAATCTAAATTTGAAGCCAGATAGCTGTTAAGCCAGGTCAGTAACCCAGGAGAGGTCTTACCATTAGAAACACCCCTCAGATCTTTCAAAAAAACAAACAACTTCAAATAAGTCAGCTAACCCTTATACTGTATGGAATGACCCTTTTTTACACAAGCTAATATTTAGTACTTTCACTTTTTGCAGTTGAACAATTAAAATCTCGGGCAGATGTAAAAAAGGCTATGTAACATTTCAGAGGTTTTACATTATGTCATTTGATTTTGAGCTTTAAGGACACAGAAAACAGGTGCAGAATATAAGAATTCAAAAAGAAAGAAAGCCCAACATCAAATTAATTTCCATGTATGGGCAGGAAAACGCAAGTGCCTCCACATTTTAGATAACCAAGATGATCCTGGGACAGACCAGAGGCGTATTTCACAAAAACTGAATCCAGAGATTCTAGTATAAGAGAAAAAGCCAGGCTCATCCTAGTGTGAGGAGTAAATCCTGGCTTCATTCAGTCCACAAAAGCCAACCCAGGCTCCATGTGTGTTGCTACCTCAAGGACTCAAGCTACATGCAGACCTGAAGCTTTCTTCAAGAGTCATTCACGTCCATCACAGATTTATTGATTCAAAAAACAATAGTAGATCGACTAAAAGCCTAAACAGATACAAATTTTTGAACCACTTTTACCTGAAAAAATGATAATCTAAATAATTTCTAAACATTTTTCTCAAATGAAAAACTATTAACCAGGAAATAAACAGCCAATATGGGGACGTACAGGTCTTGAAGATTAAGGATTTATACTACAGTTTTCCCTTCGTATTCAGTCTCTCTTTGGTGTAGTGGTTTGTCTTTGCCTTCCATGTGGTAGACCTTGGATCAAATGCATGTCGATCTGAAAGTTCTTACCATTAACAACTCAATTAAACAGTATATAGGATTTAACACTTTTTTACCCTTAAAACATTCTTTTATTGCCAGTATTTAATGGTTAGTCACAGCCCTACAGCAGCTACATCTTACTTGCACTACTGTGGTTAGCCTCAGTGGTATTCGTGGAAAGTCATTATATGCCACAGTCTAAATCTTTTTAATGCTGTGCCAAAGGTGTACTGTATACAAAAAGTTTTAAAATGTGTTCAAGGTATTTGACCTGGAGAGCATTTGAACAAAGATAGAAATAAAGAGAAAAACATCTTCTGATCTTTGTTTTTAGAATCACTATGTGTCTATTTATGGCATTGTATTTGACATCATACTCGGCACTGCAAAAATAACAAATATTCAGGAGGTTCTGCAGCAGCAGCACCAGTAGCAGCGCTAGTAGCAAAACATATATAATAAATAAATTATTTATTTGATGCTGAAATGGACTTCAGTGATTGAGCCACAGCGGCGGAATGCCAGCTCTCGAAATTGCAGTCCAACAAAATGAAGGAATAAATTCAGCCATTTAACCCTGAATTAATAATTATATGCAATCATTCCTCTATACAAGCCCTTTCCAATGAATAATTAATTTAAACCTGAGCACCAATTACAGCGCTCTGTTTTAATGCGTGACATAAGTACAGCATTAGATTATTGATGTACTCCTTTAGATGTGAAATTTCTATTCTAATTGCCAACATGACCGTGCATTTTCTTACCAAGGAGGTGAAGATGTAAGTGTAGTAGACAGACAGCATTCCCAACTCTGATGCCTGCAGAAAAAATAACAAGAGGGACAAAATATAGAGTAAGGAGTCTGAAAATTAAGCGCACGGAAGACAGAACAGACAAGGACATGCTTTAGCAGGAAAAAGAGAGTAAAAAAAGAAAGTAAAAAAGAGTAAAGCATAAGGCTGATGGGGGGAAAAAATGCAAAGCAGATAAGTTAGGAGGTCAATGAGTCGTGTAACTGGAGCTTCATCTGAGCATATAGATCAAATCCAAATCTTGATAGGCACTGCGCATCTTCATCTTACAAAGCCTCTTGATCGAGCAATTAATTTGTGAGCTCTGTTGGTATGCTGCATGAGAGCATCACGCAATCTGATTAAATCAAGGGCAGGGAAAACTTTTTATAGATTATGTTCTTGAAACACACAATATTCCTTGAAACGTATCAAGGTAGTGACTTCCGTTTCATCAAGCAAGAAATGAAATAGATCTGAAATCTATAAATATGAACTTTACTTGTACACTACTCTAAAAAATTAAAGGAGCACTTTGTAACCAGAGTATAGCGTCAAGTTATTAAACTTCTGGGATATTGATTTGGTCAGATAAGTAGCAGAGGGGATTGTTAATCAGTTTCAGCTGCTTTGGTGTTAATGAAATTAACAACAGGTGCACTAGAGGGGCAACAACGAGACGACCATAGAAAAACGTATTATTAATTACCTGAAATGTTTGACTTGGACCTGAATGATATCTAAAATAAACTTTTATATACTGAATGTAAGTTGTGGTGTTCCATGGTCCATATATGTGCAAAATTATCAGTTTGACCACAATTTGAGCTCAACTTATACATTCATTTGTTGTTCTAACACACAGCCAATAGGATGTGTGTTCCCAAATAATATACAACAGTCTGAATAACATCTGATTAAGTAACTTTTTTACCATCCTTACTTGGGTGAGAAATACATACATTGAAGTTTCACAACATTATTATGGTGTTCCAGCTGGGTGGGCATTAAATATAAAAGTTATTCTGCAACACTGGCCACTTTTTCGAACTACTGGATTTCTGATATTTTTATCTTAAAAATTTGCATAATGACTAGCTCTTGCATAAAGATGATAAGGGGGCTTTCTGCCACTAAAATGAGCTGAAAAAAGGTTTAGCTGTTATATCTGTGAACAGTGTAATCATGCAATGTGTGTCATTGACATGAGATAATAATTCAGGCATTTTCAGATGCATTGTATTAAGAAATTTAGAGAAAAAACTGCTAAGAATCAGAAAGCTTGTGAGTTTTACGGTAAAGTATGAAATACATCTTTCAGAGCCTCCTCTTCCTTTTGCACTACCCCTTTAACTTTACTGATGCATAAATTATATCTAGCAATGCAGGGCATATTCTTTTGGGTGACCACTGCTTTTAATTAGATATATTTCAGTTTTAAGATGGTAACACTGATTACATAGTCTCTCTAATGATGATTTATATCAATGTTAATTTGTTACTTTTTTTTTAAAATGTCTATGTCATGCATGATACCTTTTCCTACATGGCGGAGTATACGTTTAGTAATTCCACAGTAGCATTGGATCGAATATGCTCTATGATATGGTTTCAGCCCATGTATCGTATCAGATTGGATCGGTAAAAAAATCAATTGGTGCATGTGGTGGATGATCCTCCCACCACCACATCTTGTTAGTATTTTTTTTCTTGCTTTATCTTATATTACATTAGTTTATGTTTAAGTTGGTTATTTCTTTTAGACAGGTATTTTCTAATGGGTGCACACTTTAGTTAATGTCTGTCTGAATGGTTTATTTACACTTGTTCTTTTGTTTGAGGTGCTGCTGATGCAAACCAGCTGGAGGAGGAAACCTGGAGCCTACCATTTGCCTTTTGAAAGACTGACGGGGGAGCCTTGTTTCAAGTTGTTTTTATTAGATAGTTTTGTCACTTAAATACTTACTTATTATTGTTTCTGCTAAGTAAAAGTTAGTTTTGCTTTATTTGTTTCATAGAATGGTTTTGTTAATTTTGTATTTATTGGTTCTTTTGTTATGTTGTGCCTCCCTCATGTGGTAGACTTGGGTTACTCCATCCCTTTTTAAGCAGCCTTTAGTTCTTTGTTTGCAGGTCAGTTTTTTGTTTGAGTTGGATCCTCAGTTGACCTCAGTTAAGTTGGGCCCAGATCCATTTTATTTATTATTTAACCTCTAACACCCTAAGGGGGTATAAATACATTTCTGCCTGACAAAAACACACAAAAGTAAATAACTTATAGCCTCACAGCTATTAGATTTAGGAAGAAACTTTTGGTACGTCTGTAAAGGTAAGATGTCATAGAATGGTTTTCTGGTGTCAGCACCATTGTAGCTTTGACCCTGCCTGAACTATTAGGGACAAAATACAAAATATTTTGCATTTTTTTGAACCTCGCCAAAATTTTCTTTGAAATAAACATTGCAAAACACTACCAAAATATTATTTATAGCACAAAAAAGTAGTACAGACTATTAAAGCAAAATGTTGTGTAAAAATATACCAAATTTGGTATCAATCAGATGCATCATATTTATTTTAGAATGGTATTAGTGAGAAATTTCTTAGGCGGAGGGGCCATTTTGGCACATTTATCCATAAATGTCACCAAACTGTGCCAAATGTGTTTTTTACATCAATACTGGGGCTTTGTTAAAATTACGAGGTCACGTAGCAGCTGGACCCACCCGTGGGTCCGTAGGGTTCTAGGGGTTAAGTTATTTTGTATTGCTTTTGAGCCTTTGTTAACCATTTTTGACACAATTAAATGAAAGTACTTTCTCAAATTTTGAACACCCTTTGTCCTTATGTAAGTTTGGTCCCTCACAGTGCACCTCTACTAGTAACCATTTTTCAATTTTCAATTTGCATGTTTTCCAAGCCAAAACAAGGCTTTGTTGGGGTATTGTGTAAAGCCTCGTACTTAACGCTATTTCTGACTTTTTGACTTGAAAAAGCTCCCTGGATGGGAAGCAAAATGTCTTTAAACTAGGAAACAAAGTCCAGTGGGTTGTTTTTTTTTTGTGGTTCTTTTTTGTTTTTTTACTTTTTTGGAATACACAACAAGGTTCACATCTCAATGTAAGGATGCTACATACATCTCATATAAAAAACAGAACATAAAAAACACTCAGTTAAATCCTTTCAGTGCTTTTAAACAATTCTTCCATGATTTTATTATGAACCGGTCCACACAGAGTTTGCCAAATCGTTCAAAATCGTGCCAAAGTGCTCAGCTCAGATCAATTGACAAGTCTTAAAATCTTTCTGATATTCGTCTTCTGTAGTTGAAGTGGAAGTCACCTCCTGTTCGGCTATGAGAAAGTGATTAAAACTTCCTCTTGTACTTTCAAAATGTCTTTTAAGATTATGATTTGCAATTAGCCAAAATTCAAAACAACTACAAGCTTTACTAGAGGGTTATTCCCCACAACTGCTACTTTGTTTTGTAAGAGCTTGGATGAGGTCAAATTTACTTTGTAAAAAAAAAAAAAAAAAAAGGGAAAAATATGCATCCTTTTCTCAGAACAATCTATCCAATTTGTGTAGATCATCACAAAAAATCAAGTAAAAATAATGTGAAAACATGTAGTTTTATGAAAACTTTAAAAAACATTGTGTTAAAAATGAAAATAGCAGATGACAAGGGGAAAGAACTAACCAAATAATGAGAAAATAATCTTCAACGGGTGCAGACAGACATAATGTGGAACAGCACAATGCCTAGGGATAAAATAAATTAATACAAATATAAACCTCTGTCCAGAAAAAAAAAAAAAATTCTCTGAGATTTTGAAACAACATGCTACACTTTTAGCATACACTCTTTAAAAGATGAAATATACTATAAGAGCTACTTGAGAACTTGTTTCCATTAAAAAGAGGAGGGTTACTTCATATTAAAGTGCTAGTAGTATTCTGAGAGAATAATTACTTAAATATACCATTAGTAAAGAAGCTCAAAAAGGTTGCTTATTCGTAAAGACAGGAGGCGGACTCACTAACACTTCCTAAAAGCTGTTTTGCTTTATAACATTGCATACGATAATTACATTCAATTGTAAAAATATCTCTTTAAAAGCAAGGAACCAACAGATTTAAACCTGATAAATGAGCACTTTGCTTCACTTTATGCTGTCTTTTAATCCCTGCTATATTTTTCATTAGTTGGAGAGGGGAAAAAATGCCTTTATTACACATGCTCATCTACAAATCTCCACATAATTATTCAAACTATTTCTTGACTTCTAATTACTGGGGAAAAAAACATTTCAGTTGATTTTCTCATACATAATTACTGATTAAATGGAATTGATTTGTTTACCACTTATGCTTCCGCTTGATTAATATGCCAACCTTCTGGGTCTAAACTACAACTAACTTTATTTTTCCAAAAGCTTAGTTGTTTAAATCATCATTATCGAACTTGTAGTTCAATACAAAGCATATAATCTAGCAGAGATTAATTATATTTAGTTTATATTGAGTCATGAAGAAAATATATATTTTTTTATTATGCTAGAAAGTTTGTAGGCTCATGAATAACATGAGCATTAACAGACCTATACATACCCGTTCTAAAATGATATGTGACATTGTGGCATTAGCATCCACGATGATGGTGGCCGTCTTGTCATCTCGGATCTCTTTTAAGACAGGGGTCGGGTCCTGGCTGTCATCCAGCATTCGCACTGATAGGGTATCCTTGGATATGAGGAACTGTCTGAGGAGCTGCTCCAAGTTCAACAAGCCTGTTGGTAAAACAAGATCATACATAAAAAGGGTTGTTTGTTAGAAGATGGCACTACATTTATAACCTCAAATTAATGCACTCATCTGTTAACAGTAAATACAACCCATTATGACCAATTTTTGGGTAAAATTGAACGTATTATTTGAAATCTGACAGCTAGGTCGGGACGAAATATCTCATGGGGTGAAAAAAAAATGTAAATTCTGGTTTGATTTACTTGCATGCATTAATTTTCAAAATGTATGCCTCTTTAATTCACCCTGATTACCTATAAATGATGTACTGTACATCGGGTGCCTTGAATAACTCACTTGGAGTTGGCAGTAAGGAGATGTGGCAAGGAAAGGCATTTAAGAAGGAAAATAATAAGAGAGATAGTACCCACTCTGGAGAGGAGGCCTTTACATGTGTCCCTGGAATAAGTACAAAGACCTTGCTAAACAATTTCCCCTGCCAGTCTATGAACATTGGAGCACTCTTCTTTAGATTGTATACATAAAGAAAATTCGTTCCGTACAGTGCTCAAAACATTTCCATTTCTAAAGTGCAGCGCAGTGATAAAATTTAAACATGGTGATCAAATGTAAACATAAGACAGGCAGGTTATATTAAATCTAAAGATCCAACCACAAATACAGTCTTTCTTGTAATTGTCTTTGATGTAAATTGTTTTACTCATTCTCAATATAAACAGCGTGTTTCATTTTACCTTGGAGCTTTTAGACTACATTAAAATTTCTTTCTTTAGTAAGAAGTAACATTTTTGATCCAACTTATTGTGAAACAGAATTCCTCAAAAAAAAAAAAAAAAAAAAAGAAAAAAAGAAAAATTAAAGGCTACATAAAGAGAAATCTTATACCCCGCTGAACTCGGTCTCAGGGTAATACAGTTTGGCTACAGCAAAGTAGGTAAAATGCGCCCCAATCAAGCGAAAACCGCAACCAATACAGCCATGGCAGCTTTCTTATATCAGTACAGTTAAAATTTTCCAAATTTGATTATTTTTTTCTTTTGGAGGTGTGTTATGGGGAAAAAATAAAAATTAAACAAGGCTGTGGAGGCCCTAATTCAAGGAAGCACTGCTGGTATTTACCTGACCTTGAAATTTGTATGCCCATCTGTTTAGTATTCTGCTGCCAAGCAAAGAGGACATGCAGCATAGGTGTGAAGGGACTTACAAACAAGGGGAACCCTAATGCAAATGCACCAATGCCAACCTTGTTCAATCATACTTTAACGAAAATTATTCTTCAATCTTAATTATTCTACAATCAATAAGTAGTCTAACTTTACAAAGATGTAAAACATTTTTATGCTACATTTGTAAATAAAATAGTAACAAACTTTGCCATTTGTTTAGGACAATCTCCTTTTTCAGCTCTTTTCTAAACAATCTGCTATGCCTTTCCAAACCCCTGAACTCCCTAAGGCTATGTCACCGGTCAGAGTTCTTAAAGATAGCAGAGGAGCACAGAATAATACATAAGATTAAGGACGGATCTTGACCGATTGGCTGCTACAGACTGCACAGTTTATTTCCCTTTATGACATCATAAAGGGCTAGCTTTTCAAACAGACCATTTTGAGCAGTCATTAGATGAGAGTTAGAATGAGGCAATGAAGAGAGATGGAAGAGTTATTTTATTTATCAATCTCATACGCTGCCTTCAAAACACATACGACTCTTAAAAATATTTAGAATGTGAATTGTGCATTATATGGGAACTTAAAATTTATATTTACATGTGTGTTGATTAAAGATGAAGCCTAAAAGTAATTCATAAACTGACTGTTTATAGCTAAATATGTCCTAATAAATCTGCAAGCCCTGACTTGACAACTGTCTCTTCATGCACATCCAGTGTGATTACCATCATTAAATTCTCCAACTGTGAAACGAGCATGCCTTCAAGAAACGCATGCCGTGGTTTTATGGTAAAAAATATTCTTAAGAGTGGTAAAGCATAGCATACATGACACCTTCACCTTGAACATGTGGTACATATTTCTAAGATTCATGCAACAGTACCTGATACTGATAAGGACAGTAAGACAAAAAGGTCAAAACTTTGTGGAAAGTTGCTTGTATTAGCCAAGTCCAACCTGCCATTTAAAACAGTTGCTTTAAATTCAACTACACTTTGGCTTTAACAGATATTTATTGTGATTTTTGCCATGGTGACAGCAGAGCAATCTATCTGTCATGGGCAGACCAATTTTCTTGAGGCTATTTCAAGTTATCAAACCCATTCCTTCATCTTGTTCAAGAATTAATTCCGGCTGTTCTTCCCAGCTACCCACATCATGTCTAAAAGCTTCTATAATTATATCTTGGTCTGTATGTCTCATCCTGTCTTTGTGACAGTAAATCAGTGTATGTGCGTTTGATTTCATACCACCTGTATGTGATTACTACTGAGACATCAGCCCCAGCTGCCGCTGGCTTTCCGGTCTGTGTCTGGAAGCTGTCAATTCCGCTTCCTCTGTTGTATTACGCTGAATCACTCTGATGAGCTTGAAATAGCCTCTTTTACACCACTTTCACCGGTCTACCTCCTGTATCCATTGACTACTGTGTGTTTCAGGCCATAAAGTACCATTTTACATTGAGTCTGTGTCATTAGATGACACAGAATACCAGATAGCCCAGTCTAAATAGCACATACACAGTACTAAGGACAAAAAACAAAGCACACTATGATCTGTATTCCTCACCAAGGATATGCTTCTTGCAATGGAAAAGCAGTTTCATTTACATGAATAAACATGTCTTCAAGCATAGGATACATGTAGCTGGATATATAGGCATTTTACAGAAACACAAGCAAAGAAAACATAAAAATAGATGAAAACAATAAATTACTTTACATAGTTCCTATTTTTGTTATTTCAACACTTAATTTTTGATTGTAATTAAAAACAAGCTAGGTCACATATCCTTCTACAGACCGATCAACAACAGCAAGGTTTAAAAACACTTTTTGAATTTTATTGTTTTATTTTTTGGAAAACTAGTTAAAAAATAGTATTATTTTAAAGTGATACCTTTTGCATTAAGTCTTGTCTGCAAGGGACAACTGGAAATGTACCAACACATGTGAAGAGCCAAATTATCTTTGCATCATAAAAAAGAGAAAACATGCTAACAATAAAATAGCACATATGCAAACTGACAGCTCCTGCTGCTCTATGACTGCAGCAGTTTTTGTGGCTTTGCGTTGTCGAAGTTTGAGGAGTAGCATGAATGTTAAAAAACATATGTTGTAATTAACAAGCCCCAGAGACCCCCTTGACACTGACACTGCCTCTCTTCCTCCCCCGTTCAGGACATAGAAGCTACACCAACATAGCATCACGAGACCTTTATTACATTAACGTAAATTCTACTGTGTATATAGTTAATGGCTATATACTATATATTGTATATAGAATATATGTTTTATATTGTAAATAGCTATATATTCTGTATTATATCTAATATGTATGATAGATGGATGGATGGAGGGACGGACGGACGGAACATTCAGATGACGAAATATTTATTAAAGTTTTTAATTACCAAAATACTGTTACTAAATTCACTCTAGACCACTAACATGTGCAATAACACAGACACATAGTGTGCTTAATTTACAAGCAGCTCAGAGTTAATAAGCAAAACACCCCAAAACATTACAGTCTTAATCCATCCACTTACAACAAATTTGTAAAATCTTCTGTTCTGCCCCAGACCTACTATTATCGCCTCTGACTTTCCTTTATTATGTCTAGACAAGTGTAATGTCCTCCATTTATGCTAAAGCACATTAAAACACAACTTAATACCTTGGAAAAAGGAACATGGAATGACCTGAATATAACAGCATTCAGCGGATCCTTCCAAATGCCCTTGTGGAAAAGATCGATATTTTAATCAATTTAAGTAGCATTCAGTTATCTGAAATTGTCACAGGTAAGTTTTTATAAAACTTTCTCTAAAGCCTTATTTATATATGGTAATAAAAGCAGTTAAAGCCATGGTCCAGGCCATAAGTGCCTCCGATTTGTTATTAGATTAAAAGTGATGCAGAATTTTCTCAAAAAATCATATCAATTAAATTATATAAACATTAAAATCAGCTAAAATTATCTGCTGTTTTACGTTCGTGTTTACTAAAAAGTAAATAAGAAATTATAATGTAGACATCAGCTTGTTCAATGTTTCAAGGTAAACAAAGTCCAGTCCAAAACTGCAAAAAAAAAATCCCACTGCAGTTTTCTTGTGGTTTTAAATACTTTTGAGCATATATCTTGACTGATTCACCAGTTAAAAATAGTCTTTTATAGTGTTACTATAAAGAGCAGAATTCTAGGAAAAACTAATATTCTGTGCTATGAGTACTTATTTACCTTTTAAGCCTGTTTTAAGAATAATCAAATAAGATTAAACTATATAAGAGTAACGCCATTCTTATTAAGAATTCAGCAGCAGCAGGATTATGTGTTTCTTTTTGTTATACATTTGTATGAGATATGGGAATTTCATATTCAATTGTGGTAAGCCAGGTTTATTTATATATCACAATTCAGTACCAAGACAATTGAAAGCATTTACATAAATTAAACAAAGAATAGAAGGAAAATAAAGCAGAATAAAAGTAAATAAAGATAAAAATATGGTAAAACAGATAGTAAAGAAAAAAATTCAACAGTTGGAGCACAGCCTCAGTAATAATAACTCATGGGTGGATCATCTGAACATGTGGTCCTCCTAATTGTCAATCATTCTGGTGATATATTTACGTAAGGCCGTCCTACATGCTTGTACCGTTAGCTATCTTTTTCTACACATGTGCACTTTCATGGGCACTTTCAGGTGTGTAGTGAGCTACCGTTTCAGCGAGCCACTGAAGCTTAACTTTCTCACTGCGGTTCTTTGAAAATGGCCGAGGGACGTAAGAGAAAAAGTGTCTACGAAGGGTATGAGACGAAAAGAAAGGCCTCAAAAGAGGCAGATA